GTAAACTAATCAAAGTTTCTCTGAAAAACGGAATAATTCCACTGTTCTGTTCCTTCGTGACTGGCTTCCAGAAACACAATACTACAGTTCCAATTATGAAGAGCTATTTCGAAACCACAGACCGACTCAATTTGGTTTGCTTTTGTAGTGCTAGATAGGAGATTCAAAATGATAACAGATTCAAACAGTTGGGACAAGTGGTTACTGGAGAATCGATCAATTATCTTTCTGACCACATCGCGTTTTTCAAGCGGAAAGCTACACTAGCTGGTTGAACTTCCGGATTTCATCAGGTTTTATCCTGTTCTCTACGCTGTAGCTCTATGACTGCGTTTTACAATGTCCAAAATCCTGACGTACTTGGGTTTGTTTGATTTATGTTTAAAAAAAAATGACACTGCTTTCAGGCCCTGAGTTTTAGGGTCATGCCACAGAATAGACATGGTATCTCCCCCCCCCCCCCCCCCCCTCTTTCTCGCCCCACAACCAAAGACAGCAATGTGCACTGCATCCAAGCATCAATTGTGATGACGTGCTTAACCTCAAAATTCAGTCTCTCAGTAACCGTTCTGTGAAATCTGTCCCCTAGTAACTGCTAGATGAAATCTGCCCCCCAGTAACCGCTCGCTGAAATCTGTCCCTCTTTAACCGTTGGGTGAAATCGGTCCTCCCAGTACGTGTTTAGTGTGCATTTTTGAAATTTGGCATGCAACCTGGTCATGATCTTGTCCTTGTAGGAAAATAATTTAAACAAATGTTTAGTTTTTAATTTTATATATATATATATATATATATATATATATATATATATATATATATATATATATATATATATATATATATATATACACATACACATCGATTCAAACCATATATTTTGCATGTTTACAGTAAATGGCTTGAAGTGAAGTTGGAGAAACATCAAACTGGACGCATGTTAGAGGTAATCTGTGATAGAAATTAAGGAGCCCTTATTTGGAATAGCGAAGAGGATACCACATGTACTGCCATAACGCTTGTTGACTGACTTATAAAAATCAAATGATTTGTGTAAATAACTATACATTCTTAGATTTTTTTTTTTTAAAGTAGGTACACAATTTATTAGTCCAACTCCCCGTGTGGGTTCCGGGGCCCTATTATAGGGAAAACAAGAATAGACCCACTGCCTACCCAAAAAGCATGTCGTAAGAGTCGACTAATTGGGAGCTTCCTTCGAAGTCGGAATGCATCTGCCTGAGCGGTAAGGAACCAGCTGTCTGCATACAAATGAGTCAGATCTGTAAAACGGATGCACACGCAACACTTGGGTTCTGGAACAGGACTGCAGACCAGAAATGGACGAACAACCAGAACTTTCCACCGGAGTTTACAGTTGGTGAACGCGAAAAAGAACGAAGAAGAAGTAGAAGATTAGTCCAACAAAGATCAAATAAATTCACTGCTGTAAGAAAAACGCAGCACCTGTGTTAAATTATGAGATCATAAAGACGTTGGAAATATGAGACCAGGTGCTCAAATTCACGTTGATGCAGGAATTCAGGGCACGACTTTGGAAACAGACTATAATGGATGGGACTCACTAATAGGAGTTAACCACACGTCATGCTTGGCGGCTAGACGCCCGCCTGCGGATCGGAAGGTCGTGGGTTCGCGTCCTGACAGAGACGAAATTTTTTTAATGACCTTGACTCTCAGGTTGACCAAGCCTTGAATGGGTACCAGGTGCAGTCATGGGAAGTAAAGGCGGCTGGCGTGATGCTGACCACATCACTGCTGCTAAGTGCCGATTGGTCTATAATAAAATATAGGTCTAGTCCTAGATTCCCCGTACGCCTAAAGACTTGGAACAATTACCTTTTTTTACAGTCTGGTACCAAACAAAAAAGGTATTGTTACATAAAGGAGAATAGCGGCGCTTACCAGACAACTACATCAAGCATGACCATTGGGATAACGGCTGCTTCGAGATCACACGCATGGGTAGCAGAACAAGCCGCAACACATGCGGCCATTGTTTCAGATTCCATAAACAAGCTTCAGAAAATCTCTACAGGTGGTCTACGCTCCGAATGGGTAGATAGCATTCGAAAGTCACAGTTAAACTTCATCATCTGGATCTGCTCGCCTGGTATGCAGAAGTAAAGGGTAACAAAAGAGCTGAACAGCTAGCAAGTGATGCACCAATGCAAACAAACAGGAAGAAGCATGGACAGGAAGGGATATTATCAGTACTGTAAGGACTAGGCTGTGAGTTAATGAGTGATCTCTAACGCTAGCCAGATTACGTGACCTGCAAGTGAAGCTTTGTGAAGCACGTCTATGTGGTCTTCGGGGTCAAGACAAGGGATACTATCACTCAACCTTTCATGTGAACAATCTATAGAGGTAGCCTGGAGTGGCTGCTTCATCGGAAAAATGAGTATGCATGTGAATGCCCCATGTGCTTCGTCTTCTTCTTCGCTTCCTCTTTTACCGCTGTGGGTGTCGAGGGAGATATAAGGTTCTGTCTCTAGCTCTTCTGGCCGCCTCGACCATAGGCACATCGTGCTGGTGTAGAGTTTCTCTGATGTTATCCTTCCATCTTGTTCTTGGTCTACGTAGTGCTCTATGTCCTTCTTCTCTTTCCATGT